CTGGATATAAGTAAGTGGGAATTGAAAGTTAAAGGCTCGGCAAAACCACACCAGGCTCTGGGTAGAAGCATCCATGCTCAGGCGCTTCCCTGGACACTGCCTGGTCACCACTCTGTAGACACCGTGGCACTCTGTACCTTGGGGGAACACCTTGCACCCCCATGTTCACCCTTATAACATGATTGTGTGGTATCCAATGCAAAGTTTGTGATGGGTGTCTTCGGAAGGCTCATGATGCACTGAGCATCATTGTTATAGTAATGTTATAGGTTGTAATTTAATGTGTATATAGTTATGAGGCTGAAAATGTGTCCTCATGGCTTAAAACAAGCCCAGGCAAAACTCTCCAGGAGCAGAAGGGCAGTTCATACCTCATCAGGGCATGTATGGGACAAACCCAGACCAGCCTCACAGGAACAAAGGACACTGGCCTAGGCTGCAACAAAGGATCTGTTGGACTCTCAAGTGAGTCAAACCCCCTTCCTTTGGTTAGTTTGGGACTACGATGAGGTAATGCTCACCTGAGTCTGAAGGTGGGGCGGGGGGCAAAGACAAGAGGGAAGAAAGAACATGATAAAAGAGAGAGATGTTTGCCATGCTCTCTCTTCCACCTCCATCTACAGACACCACCACCAAGCGACTGAAGCGCTGATCAAAGGGGAGAGCCTGGCTGAATAGCAGCCAGCCAGCCTGTGGTGAGAAGCATCTAAGTTTGTAAGGGCACTGAAAGTGTTAAGATCATGCTCATGCTGTTGGGTTTTGCTTTTATTTCATTTGACCAAATCTGACTTGTTGTGTTTGATTTATAATCACTTAAAATCTAATCTTTTGTAGCTAATAAATCTATTTGTTTATTCTACCTGAAGCAGTGTGTTTGGCTTGAAGTGTGTCAGAGACTCCCCTTGGGATAACAAGCCTGGTACATATCAATTTGTTAAATCGATGAACTCATATAAGCTTGCAGAATCCAGCGGGCATAACTGGACACTGCAAGACTGAGGTTCTTAGGGTTGTGTCTGGGACCGAAGATATGGGCTAATGTCATTCAGTTGCACAATCCAAGCAGTGGCTGGCCAAAAGTGCTCATTCACATAGCTGGGAGCAGCTTACATGCTAGAGACTATGCATGAACAGCTCAGGAGTGGGGGTTCTCACAGCACAGCAGGATAAGGCTGGCTCCCAGAGTCAAGGATTGGAGTGATCCATCAGATCACTGGTCCAGCTAACCCCGGGGAACATCACCTCTTAGACATGGGCTTGAAGTTCAGGCTCTATGCCCAGCCCATCTGAGCTTCTCTTATGAAACAGCCAAAGAAGCCTACAATTGCAGTGGTAGTTTTTGTGATGTGGACACCTCTGTGTGAGATTTGCTTTACCCAGGGCCACCAAACAGTCATCTACGATCTGTATTGCAGATGATGTGATCTTAGAGGCAAAAGGCTCATTAAGCCCCCCAGTTCTCCCAATCCTCTAATTCTTTGAACCAGAGGGTAGGAGGTGCAGAAGGTGAAGGAAGAGGAAGAAGCACAAGACATTGAGGATATCTGAGGCTGAAGGCCTTGCTGTTAGCTAGGCATCAGAACACAGGGAGGACTTCTGTTCTCCACCAGATGCCTGCGTATTTGAAAGCTAGTGGCGAGTGTCTGTTCCATTTGTCTGCCCCACTTGCTTAGTAACACAGAGGAGCCAGTTCAGGAGGTATGAATTGTTTGGGGCAGATGTTAGGATTCCGCCTTCCTTCCCTACTGGCATTTTTCTTGACACACTGTGCTTCTGTCCGCAGGTGTGTGCGGATTACAGACACTGGACTCAGTTACTTATCCACCATGTCATCCCTTAGGAGCCTGTACCTCCGCTGGTGCTGCCAGGTAGGTGAACAGAAAAGGACAATGCAAGCCACGCCACTTGCTAGGATTAGCTCTCCTTCAACGCATCTCCCCAGTAGGGAGCGACTAACACTGGAACAAGGTTCCTCTATTAAATCTTCCCCTCTGATTTCTCTCTGCAATGGCTGCCTCAGCTACTGTGCTTTGAGATCAATGGATTGAAAAATGCCGTATCAGTGATAAGTAACATGATTGTGATGATAGTAGCGACTTACCTGGGGCACTATTATTAAGTATGGATAAAGTTACCCAAAACATCTCCAGGGGATGCATGTGGAGCCTGTAGAATATATGGCATTTGATGCAGAGCAAAATGGCTCATTGCAGGTAGATGCTCAGTAAGTTAGCAAGTAGCGAGCATTGGTGTCTATTGATTAAAGCAGTGAATTGGGAGTCAGGGGATATGGGGTCTGTCTCCACTCTGACTTTGGTCAAGACATACAACCTTTCTGCCTAATTTCCCCCTTCAGTCAAAGGGGAATGATAGCTACATCCCAGTGGAGAGGTGAGGCTGAATGTATTGGTGTGTTTTTAGAGATCTTCCAGTTGAAGCTGCTAGTGAAAAGCAAAGTAGAGTTCATTCTTTTAGTTCTGTATTGACAGTCCAGGATCCCTTCCTCCCTCTTCTGTTGTTTTAGGTGCAAGACTTTGGCCTGAAGCATCTCCTGGGCATGAGAAGTTTGCGCCTGTTGTCTCTTGCTGGTGAGATCCAAACACTGGTTTATTCTTGAGATGATAGACTGGTTTCTGGAGAAGGGGAAGCCTCAGTTTGGGGACAGGGCCACGACATAAGGGATAATCCTGGCCGTGTCACAGTCTCGTGAACCACCACTAGAATGTCATGGGAGACTGTTGCTGGGCCATAGCACAATGGTGGGCTGACAGGATGATCGTCCAGCCTGGAATTACCCTTTGTGGAGGGTAAAATTGGCCAGTGAGAGGCAAATGCAGGAGGCAGGTCAGCCCCTGTAAAAAACAGAGGGGCAAGGAGAAGACCCGTCCTCCTCCTTTCTCTGTTGAGGAAGAGAGACAGTGAAGGAACCAGTCCAGACAGCTGGAGGATTTCCTTCACCCGGACATTCCATGCTGTCACACACTGGCTGTGTCAATTGCTATCACCCAACTCACTTTATCTAGTGCCTGTTTGGTCTTTCCCTGGGGTACTCCAGCTAGAGCCCATCTCCCACTCTGGACAGCAGCACTCCCAAGTTCTTTCTGAACTCATGGGGCCTGGTTGTCAGAAGTGCTGAGCTTCTGAAAAGTCAGACTGAAGTGAAGAAGTGCTCAACACTTCTGAAAATCAGACCTTCAGGGCCAAATTCCACCCTAGGGTCTGCAGAGTTCCCAGTCACTACAATTCATGACAGCTCCACACAGGGCAGAGACTGAGCCAGAGGGTTTCATTTCTTGCTACCCACCTCAGGCTTCAAGGCATGACTTTTACCACCACCTTTCCAAGCAGTTTGAATCGGAGTCCTGTTTCTTCAAAGGAGTTCTGAGTTGCGTGAAAGTGTTTGACTGGAATGGATGTGCCAATGTCAATTAATTGTGTTTGCCCTGCTCCATCACATGACCTTTCCTTCATTCCCAAGGAAAGCCTGATGGAGAAACTTGAGCTTCATTCTCCTCACTCTGACACTGGTGTCAATCAGGAGCATGAGCATGTCAAAGCAGACCCCATAGATTCTAAAAATTCTCATAGGCCACAAGTCAATGGAGAATCCTAGAAAAGTAGGGCTAGCAGGGCCCCCAAGAGGTCATCTAGTCCATCCCCCTGGTGCTAACCCACTAATGCAGCCTCATGCAATCTTCCTCCCCCCCCCCCCCAGTGAGTGTCATATCAATGTGACATTTTGTGTCAACACCACCCTGCAGTGATCTGCCCTCCCATCTGTTCATGGTTTATGCCACTCAAGCCCATTCACTGGATTTATGTCCTCATTTGCTCTGCTGTGCTAACAGAGCTACTGCTCAACATGCCCAGGACCCAGATGCGGAGGACAGCATAAGTTAAAGACTCATGCTGAGATAATAGTGCTAGGAACAACCTCAGGTCAGTTTCTTTGGCATAACAATAATTGCTTGTATCTCATGTTCATGAGTCAGCTTTTCTGACATAAATTACTTACAATAACCATTGAGATCAGGTCAGTTGTAAGATAATGGTATATTTGGCCTTTGTCAAAAAGGCATTTGCGAGGTATGATCATGGAACCATTGTTATGCTCTCAACAGAGCTATTCATACTCCATGGCTCACCTGACTCCTTGCTCTGCTGGTTTGTGCGAAGAGAAAAACATGTTTCCCTCTGAATCAAAACAGCAGCAGCACTTTTGAGCATCGCTCAAAACCTGATGACTGAATAAGAAAATAGCACAAAAGGTTTCCTGTTAGTCACTTTAAGTTTACTGGCTTTCTGAATGAGGCTTGGGGACAAATGGTCTCTGCGCTACTTACAGTGGCGTAAATCAGGAGTGACTCCATTAATGTCCACAGAGTTATGCCAGCATAAAGGAGATCAGATCCAGGCCTTATGTCCTGTAGTGGATGGATGCAATGCTGCTGAGAAGGTCTAATTGGGTGGGTTGGTCCTGCTACCTGCAGATGGGAGAGCATGCTACAGCAGTCCTCCCCAGCCCCAGAGACTCAGGCGGTCTCCCCCCCACAGACATCTCTGCTGTCTTGCGGTATGTCTACACTGTATTTAAAAAAAACAAAAAAAACCCTGCAGCAGCAAGTCTCAGAACCTGGGTCAGCTGACTTGGGCTCACAGGATTTGCGCCATGGGGCTCAAAATAGCTGTATAGACATTCAGGCTGTAGGGTCTGAAACCCAGCAAGGGTGGAGGGTCTTGAAGCCCAGTCTCTATCACGAGCCCAAATGTCCACACTGCTATTTTTAGCTGCGTAGCACGAGCACTGCAAGCCCGAGTCCGTTGACCCAAGCTCTGAGACTCATTGCCGTGGGGGGTTTTTGCAGTGTAGACGTACCCCTAGAGTTTAAGGCCAGAAGGGACCACCAGATCATCTTGTCACAGTCCACCAACACCCTCCAGCACCTGCACACCAATCTCAGCAACCAGCATTAGATCAAATCATTGGAGCCCTCAGGAGCCTGAACTATTGTGTGCCAAGTCAGAGAATAGGAAGGACTGAGGTTCACCATTGCCCGAAGCCCCTGTGATGGCAGAAAATTAATTTAGTGGGATACACCCAAATGATCCTAACAGGGCCGACATGCAGGGGACAGGTGATGGAGCCTGATGGCATTGCTCTCCCTTTTGCAGCTGGTATTTAGAGATGGGCTTGACTGATAGCAATCCAACCCCCACCCCACAAAGCAGAGGGATGGCTAAGCTCTTCCATGTCTACCCCAGATGGTAGTACATCATAGCTTCTTGCTCACTGGGCATTTCCACCTTCTGGTTTCAGGCTGCCCGCTGCTGACCACCACTGGGCTCTCAGGCCTTGTCCAACTTCAAGACCTGGAGGAGCTGGAGCTGACCAACTGTCCTGGCGCCACCCCTGAGCTGTTCAAGTATTTCTCCCAGCACCTGCCGCACTGCATGGTGATCGAATAAGCTGCCCCAACCTTTGGAGCTGTCTCCTTCAATCCCAACCCAACACTGATCAACCAACCAGAGTTATCATTTTGTTTTAATTTTATGTTTTGGGAGAGATGCTAACGACGCTGTTGATTTAAATCACCCACCATGTGTACAGCAATCAAGAGTTAGTTAATCACATCAATGCATTGGATGAGGACACCTAGAGAGAGGGATATATGCTGTCTCCGTAGAGATGGGTATCCATCTGTTCCATAAGACGCAATCTCCTGCAAGAATCTCTCTGCAAAGTTTGTAAATTTTCCATGCCTCCATCATCACTCATCTTCTTTGTAATGGTCTGTCCTGAAAAAAAAAATTATTTAAAAATCACAGCTAAACAAAATACCAACGAAAAACGAGCAAACAAAACAAAGCGAATGAATTACCACGATTGGAGAGTTGGGGCAGGTTGGCACGGTTTTATGTCCTGCGTGGTGTCCCCCCTCAGTGCTGGATCCCATGTGGTTTCTGCCCAATGTCTCATGTCACAGCAGTTAGAAGTTCCTTCTGAGACCCCCACACTTCTGTGGGGCTTGGTGGTGAGTCTGGGGGAGGGGCCTAATTGGAGCCTCTCCCCATTCTGGATGGTTGAAACCAGTGTTTCCATCATGGCATATGTTGGCAGGAGCTGAGCCAGAAAGCTAAGAAGAGAAGAGGAGAATCCTGAGGGACAGAGAGACTCGAAGGAGAAAGGATGAAATTCCTGATGTCGTGTGTTTGCTCTGTCTCTTAATTACTTCAGCGGGACACTGCAGGGTCTGCCACGCTGGAGACATTTTAAAAAATAAACTGACCAACGCTGTGAAAGAGAAGCACGGGGCCTGTTCTGAGGCTTTTGGCAGGCCGGGTGCCTTCTGCTCCAGAAGATGGAGCTGATATGTTGACCGTGATCGTCTTGTTTTCATTGAAAGCACGGATCCATGAGCAAATTTCCTGAGACGCAAACAAACCCACTTCCCCACCCAATCCTCTGAAAACCCAATAACCTCAAGGTCACATGATCTTGGGTAGACGATCGCCTACTGCTGTTTTCATTTTGTTAATAAGATGTTCTTCTCAGAACAGCCTGCAGCCTTCGCATGCTAGCTTGCTTCAGTCTTGTGGTAAGGTAGGTTCTGGAATGCGCAGGGGCTGGGAGGGCCTGTGGAGCAGCCCTCTGCCCAGCTCCAGTTCTCTTCCAGTGTGAAGCTGGTGTGGCTTTGTATCCAATCCACATACATTTATTGGAGTACAGGTTTAACTGTGGAAACTGGGAGCCTAGAGCAGCTCCCCCTCCTCCACCAGCCTGAGCCTCCTTCATCTATCTCCCTTCTACAGCTGCAGGCTCTAGAAGGGGTGAGAAAGCTATGGTGTCTTACTGGGCTTGATTTGTGTGGCAGTATGACTTATGCCTGGGAGCATCTTTCCCCAGGCCCAGCTTGAGGCCAGCTCACTTCTAGGACAGAGGGAAGGCTGGCAGCATGTCAATCAGAACAGTCTGGGATCCTACTAGGGCAGTGGGCCCTAAACTGTGGGGTATGCCCCCCAGGGGGGGTGCGGAGGAACATCCAGGGGGTGCGGCAGGGCCACTTAGCTCTGCTCTGTCCCCAGCTCATCTCTGGCCCCACCCAGGCCCCAGCCCAGCCCTAGTCCCAGTTGCAGCCCCCAATCCCAGCTTAGGGTTGCCAGGGTATTCACAGAAACCAGCCTCTGCCATTGGGGGGGGAGGTAGAGCAGCAGCTGCTGCTGGAGTCTGGAGGAGCACTCAGCAACCGCTCCAGCTAAGAGAGATTCACCCTTGGAGTGTGGTTTACCCTCCCCTGTCCTGCCCCACTCACCCCTCCACCCCTAGAGCGTGGCTCTCTCTCCCTTGTCCTGCCCCACTCATTCCTCACCCGTGGAACATCGCTCCCCCTCCCATGTCCTGCCTCACTCACCCTATCTCCAGGGGCCCTGGACTGAGTAAGAAGGAGGAGGTGCTTTAAAAAAGTTTTGGGACCACTGTACTAGGATCACCACCTTTTCAAAATGCAAAAATGGAACACATGCAGTAGTCATTCCGTCTTCAGTGGCCCCAGTCCCTGCTCCTCCTCTTCCCCCTGAGGCCCCACCCCCTGGGCAGGCCAGAAGCCAGAGCCAGGCAGGGGTAAGAGACACCCAGGGAGCCAGGGCTGCTGTGGGGAGCCCTGGGCCTGTGTCCCCACCCCCTTGGGGCATGCAGTCCAGGGCAGGTAGAGGGTCTGGGACTGCCTACAGCAGCTCAGACTCCCTGGCTGGCTCTTACTACTGCCCATCCTGGCCAGCAGTAGAGCCTCAGGGGGGAAGAGGAGGAGCAGGAGCGGGACCTCATGGTGGGGTGGGGCTAAGGCCCATCTCAGCCCCTCCCACTCCGGGAAGAGGCTGGCGCTGCCCCCTGAACCTCAGGCAGGGGCAGAGCAGCACTGCTGGGAATCCAGGACAAATGTTGTCCTGGAGTCATTCAGCTCTGTACCGAGCCTTGAACTCTGCATTTCAGGGCTGTACTGCCCAATTCAGGATGGGGGGGGTCACCCTAGATCCTGGCTTTCCCCTTCTTGCTACTCTGCCTTCCAGACCACTTGTGGCTCCAAGGGTGAGGCTTTCCCATGCTGTTCTAAAGGCAGCTACCACTTTGACCAGCTGGGCCCTCGCTTCAAGGAGCACTTTACATCTCCCTGTAGCCTACCCACTGTCAGAAGCTGCCAGCAGGGTCCCCTACCCCCGATCCATCAGGAGGCGGCCAGGGCTCCAGTGCCTGAGCAGCACCTGGGTGCTTGGACTATGTCCCCTGTGCAGCAGTCAGGTCCCAATCCAGGAGGGGCAGGGGGACCTGAGCGAGGAAAGAGCGGCTGAGCTGTACTGTCCGCAGCCCAAACCAGCTCTCATCAGCTGGGCTCTTTAGTCTTCTGGGGATGAAATCTCTTTTGTTTGGGGGGAAGTGAGGACCAGGGAGAGCCATCAGCTTGTGGGGAGCCAGGCTCTCTTCTCATCACTGCTCATTCTAGTGCCAGTGCATTTCTGCTCCATTTGCTGCCTGCAGTGAGGTTGGAGGAAGCCCGCTCCCAGCTTCATGTACTTGCACACATTCCATCCTGTGCATGTCCCCCAACAGTTTGAGTTTATGGCTTTGGAGGGATGCCCCCTCTCCCCCCCCCGATCAGTCACTGTCTGGGCCTCCCCTCCCCTCCAGGAAGGAAGTCGATGGCAATGCAGCCAGCTGGGTGGAGCTCCTGGGCTGGAGAGAGGAGCAGGTTGTTTTCTAGGGATGCGTGGGGGAGCGTGTGATGAAGAGATTGGGATTCTGTAGGGGTGGTGTCAGGAGAGTCACTCGTTCATACCCTGTGGCTGACTCACAGTCCACGGGTGCCTTGACAGTCTCCTGTCCCATTGTAATCAAAAGCCAGAGCACATCCATCTCTTGTGGTGTGGAGAAATGGAGTTTGCAATGCAGGAGAAGCAGCCCCAGGACCTAATGCCAGTGTAGATATTCCAGCATCTAAAGCCATCTCCCAGACACCAGCAGAAAAAGGCCAGGCAGTGACTGCTCTGTGTCTCTTCTCACAAGTCCTCCCAGCATCGTCAGCACTTTCTACACTGCTTCATGCCTGACCTCAGCCAGGGATGGCCTGAAGGAAAGGGTGCTGACCACAGCAGTTGTTTGAAGGTTCCCGTGGTGAGACACTGTCAATTCTAATCTCAGTTGCTTCTTCTCAGGCTGGCAGGGCCAGGAGCTCTGTAGGAGGCAGCACACACAGCCTAAGAAGGGAAAGAAATGCCTTGCATTGCTCAGCAACAATCTGCCCTGTTGCTGTTAGAAGCTCTTGTATTGCACCATAAACGGACATGGCACTTTGCAAACTAGACCTGGTTCCTGCCCTAAGGTCCTTACAGTCCAGCAGTTAATAGGTGCCCTGGTTTCAGCATGGGGCAGTAGGTAACAGCTGCTGATTAGGTGAAGCCAGGGTGTAAGTGGAAGGGCTTGTCATGGAGTCTTTATTACTAGCTGGGATTAGTGCCCCTGGATTCTATGCTGTCTCTATGACATCCACTGCCACTCACAACATACATTTGGTACCAGAAACTGCAGCAGGCAGGGTGGCCTGGATCCCAGACCACTGGGCTTTCTCATGTGCTGAACAAAGCCAGGAGACTCTCTGCAGATGCCAAAAAGGTTAAGGGCCCCCTTCCCGGTTCTGAAATACACCCCCATCCATCTCCCCCATAGCCTCAATCCAGCCCCTAGCTCCTGACCAACTCTTTTCCAGCCCCACGCAGCCAGCCCCCTACCATCCAACTCCTGCCTAGCTCTCCCTTAACCCCAATCTAGCCCTCCTACCCGCCAGCTCTCTCATGGTCCCCTACAGGCCCCCAGCTCCCTCCACGGTCCCCCTCATTCCCCTCCATGCTGATCCAGCCCCACCAGTTCTTCCTCCATCCTCCTTCAGTCCAGCCCTCAGTTTCCCCAGCTCTGATCCAATGACTCCTCCAGGCCCTTTTAGCTTCCCTGCTGCCCCCACTTCCCTGATCTGCCCCCACAAGCCCCCCCAGCTCCTCTCTTGGTCCCCTCCAGCTCTGTTCCAACCCCCCTCCATCCCGCAGCTCTGAGCCAGATCCCCCAAGCTCCATTCTGACACCACCCTTTTCAACAGTTCCAATCCAGCCCCCTAACTCCACCCAGTTCCTATGTAACCCCTTTAGCACCCCCTCCCCAGTTCCCCCCAACTTTCCAGCCCTATGCAAAACAGCTGATGCTTTTACCTTGTGCAGCATGGAGAGTAGGGACAGTGCGTTACCCATCTCCATCCCCCACACTGCAATTCCCTCATGCCGTCTCCACACAGCCTTGCTGGCTGCTCCCACCTGGAACCCAGGGTTGTTCTGGCCGGAGGGGCTACCGCCTTTCCCCAGGTAGGAGGCAGCAGCCCCGCTCTGCCCCAGCAGCCTCTTTAGTTGTGGCCACGTAATCTTTTGGGCCCTGGCGCAACTGCATGACTTGCACCATTGTAGTTACTCCACTGTTCTGCAGGTGACCCTAGAAAAATGTGTAGGAAAGCTAAAGAAACACTTGCCTGGTGTGGATGTGATGGTGTGAGGAGAGGAGCTTGCCACAAAGCTGGACAAGGTACAGCTGGTCCTGAGTAGATCTGAGCAAATGCTGCAAAACTTTTCCATTCCAATTGGCTTTGATTGTATTGGCATCTTTCTCATGAGTGCTCCCGGTGTACATGCAGACTCAGGTTTTGGAATCATGGATGCTTGTGAAAAGGGCGCCTTAAGCTCACACATTCCAACATTTGCAAAAATACATCTTCAAGTCACTTTCTGCAAGCATTTGCACTAGAGCGCTGATAAGATTATGCTTATCCAATCAGGGAATAGAAACAATACCATGTAGTTTATTTGACCAAGCACCAGGCTTCTAAGTAATAGATTTTAAAAAGAGATTTTTTTGTCACATAATGAATATATCTGGGGAACTTGCGATCAGTGAGCCAAAAAATGCATTCAAACAAATTAGCATAAGCTTATTGAATACATTCTCTGTTACAAATGATTCGCTCAGCTCTGGTCCTGAGTAAGAGCCCAGCTTCTCCACAGTCCTTCCACAGAGGAGGGGAGATGACCCACAACAACTCGGACTACAGCTCAGCTGCTCAGTAATGAACTGGTTTAATAGTTTCTAATGAATATGTATGGACACAGCTTTCTTAATTTGTAATGGACAAGAGTGAATTGATTTAATAACCACTTTTTTTTATTACAAACTTTTGTTGCCATAAAGATTTGTAAGCTTTAAATTATCTACATTTAGGATGACATTTTGCAACTTCCTGCTCCGTTGGCCTCTCCTTCCCTCCCGCCCCGCTCTCAGTTACTGCATGATTTCTGGGGGTGTGAGAGGTATGACGGGGGAGCCGCTATCTTGGCTAAGCTGTAGCTTTCGTTGCTAATTGCACTATAGGCAGGTCCCTTGCTCAACTTGCCAAAACCACTGGTTGCACAGCCGGAGCTTTGTTCATTTGACATTTTCAGTCTTTCCAGTGGGGACACTGGAAAATTCTGACCATTCCCAGGAAATCCACAGGGACTAACAGCTATGCCAGCCCACCTGCTGGGATACCCACTCCCCAGGCCTCTGAAGAGGAGTAGTTGTGGGCATAGGCTACACAAGTCTAAGGTGCTGCTGGGCTAGGCCTGGAACCTCAGGGATCACCCCAAGAGGCTGGTTTCTCACAGTGGTCTTCTCTAGCTGAGGAATTCCTAGAGCTACTTCTGCTCAGTTGTATGGTGATGGGTACCCTCTGTTTCTTACACGAGGTCTGGAAGCTTCAGATCCTCCTCAGAAATAATACTGCAGCCAAGTGCAAAGGGTCCTGAGGCATGTTTGGAAACAAAGAGGGCCTAGTGCAGATGAATGAGCAAGAAAAGAGAGACTGCACTGGAGAAAGGTGAGCTATAGAGCTGGATCTGCAGGAGGGAGGAAGGGAGCAGGAAGACATTAGGGAGGCTTCTCTTGCTTAGGTGCCAATATTTCTAGAGCTGCCCCTGCAGTCACCTGCAGATTGAACTCACCATGCAACTATGGACCATGTGAATCCGTGCGTGTCCCCCCCCACTCCACTCCAATTACATTTTCCCTACTAAGCTGCTGCTGCTAGGACAGGGATGTCAACAGTAGCTGGCATCTCACGGCTGCTCAGTTAACAAGCCATCAGATCACACAGGTTGCTGCAGGCAGCCTCCCACACTGAGCTATGACTGCTTCTGTGTACTTGATCAAGCAGGAATCCAGAGGTCATCCTCAGAGTTCACTTGTCCATAGAGATGTCTAAAGGAGTTCCCTGCCCTTTGAACAATTTCCCACTCCTCAGAGTCACTTCAGTGCAGGTACAGTTCTCTTCAGAGAGACTTGTCTGCCCTGGGACACTTATGATGTGATCCACCATGATCTATATTTAACTCTCTTCCCTTCTGAGTTCAGATACCGATTGGTAAACTGGAGCAGCCCAGAGGCCCCCACTTTACAATCCATTGGTTTTTCCCTTCTTGCTTAAACTTTGTCCCAGACCTAGTTGGTAAATTTTGCACATGAAAATTGAGATCTGTTAGCCTAAGGCTAGGCAAGAGGAGAAAGATTAAGCATTATTATGGAGTTGATCCTGTCAAGTGTTGAGCCCCTGCAACTCCAATTGTCTTCAATGTTTGTAGAGAGCTTTGTGTGTTACCTTATTCACCATAAGTGAGGAGACACACCACAAAGGTGACAACCCAATCTCTGCCACAAGGAGTATTACTGGTATTGCCCCACCATGTTAGATGCTGTATATTGTAAACAGACAGTCCCTCCCCGAAAGAGTTTATAATCTAAACAGACAAGGCAGACAAAATTGAGGTACAGAGTGGTGAAGTGACTTGCCCTAGGACACAAAGCAGATCAGTGGCAGAGAATAGAACCCAGGTCTCCTGAATCTTCATCCAGTACTCTACCCACTGGACTGCAATGAGGTTGCAGTTAACCACATATCTGAACCCAGGATTTGCCATACTCAGTCAGACCATTGCTCCATCTAGTCCAATATTCTGCATCAGACAGCAACTAAAACCTTCAAAGAAGGGGACTCCATAATGTGCCTGGCTAACTGTGCAATGCTGCCTGTGAAGGTGGGCAAGGGTAAACCCCTTCTTGAACCAGAAGGCCATCAGTTTGAGAGTTGGCTGTCCTTCTCTGGGTTTGTAAATTGTTATAAATAGTATTGGCATAATTTTCTCCAACCCTTTCCCAGATTAGTTTATCATTAGCTATCTTTCCACTGCGAGCTCTTACAATGCTCAATTTGGCCATGTGGTCTTATTGAAATATATTTTGGTATGGGCTAGGTCCCTGATCCTTAAAATTCTATAGTTATTTGAGCGGAGCTGTTGACTTCAATTGCAGTTGAGGGCAGTTGGCACTTTGGTGGATCAGGCTGGTTCCTTTTGGGGACTGAGCCAGCAATTGCTTCTCTGTATTGAGATGATTAAGTCTCATATTTGTGTAGGACCATGTATGCGTCCCCTCTGCGTTAGTGCCATTATCCTGGAGCTCAGAGTTTTACTGGGGATGGCTGAGCATGAGGTCATGGTTGAGGACTATGAAGGGCCTGTCCATCTGGCAAAGTGATTTAGAAATTGATCAGTGCGGGAACTTAGTGCTAATCTCTCAAACTCATTTGCTTTTAATCACATTACCAGTATGTACCAGGTTAATCCGTACTGCAGCACCATTGACATCAGTGTCTGAATTTGGCCTCTGGTCTATACAGAGCTGTAACATGGTGATACCATGCTTTGGTCCCATCTGTGTAGGCAAGACCAAACCATGTTATAACATGGTCAAGAGACTATTGGGGCATAGATTCCATGGCACCAATCTGACATTGCAGATGGTGATACTGCTACAGGGACCAGATAGAAGACAGCTTCATGCACAGGAATTTCAAATGAAACTCTGAGAACGGAACTCTCCCACCCCTTACACTCAAAAGCTAGTCCTGTCTGTAAATCTGATGCATCAGGCTGTCCAGAGTATTCCATCTGCCCACTGGAGCTCTCGACAGTGGGAGGGGGTTGTGAAGAAGGCTTGGGAGGTGCCGGAGAAGCATTTTTAATTCTAAGGCAAAGGGAGCTCACTAGGTTGGCTCTTGGACCTGAGTGTGACAGAACCTTCCTATGTTGTGGAGCAGAATCAGGACACAATCTTGGAACTTCTACAGTATGGATGTCAGCCAGTCTCCACCTGCTATCCTGTATTAGGGGATGAGCTGGATCAACTACTAGGTCTTTTTTACCTCTAACCCTTACGATCATTCTGTTTAGTAACAATACTTATTTGCCTAACTCTACGCTTCTCTCCTTTCCATACTCATTTCATAGTGCCTCCCAGAAGGTGATCCATTTTACTGCCCTTAAAACTTATCCTGGGGAACTTCAGCTGAGATGGAAAATAAAGTGTCAGATTTAAATATGTGGCACTTCTTTACCCACCTGCTGGTGGCTAAGGGGCTGATAAAGTAACCTTGTGTGGCGGCCCATCATTGGAGTGAAGCAAACAGTATGGTTGCTGCTTCCACCGTGGTTTTACAATCAGGAGAAATTTGCCAGTGGCTGGGCCTCCAAACTGTGAGTGTCACAAAAGAAGGTAGTATTCTGCAGGGAGGGGGACCTTGGAAAGGCACAGAGATGCAGATTCCCAAAGTGAAAAGCCTTTCTTTTCAGTCATGGTACAGCTGATACACAAGAGTTCTGTTACATGAGGCACTGAGCAGAATGAGAGTGGCTTGCTTCTAAAGGGACACAACTTTTTACATTTTATTTAAAAAAAAGAGGATAGGGAGAGGATAATTATAAAACTATATGGGCTACACTAAGCGTTTAAGGCAACCTCTGACTTGGAGCTATGCGGTGGTGCATCTACTGTGCAGGAGCTGCCAGAAGCAGTGGGTCTTAATCAGGCACCATGTCTACTAGAGCTCTGGGAAGCACAACTGTTGTGGCACAATGTGGTCAGCAGTGCAGTAGGAAGAGGTATAATAACACTCCCCACTTACTCCTCTTTGCCTTCTTTGTAGTGACTAGGACCAGTGTCAGCACCTAGCAGAGTCCATGCACTCATGGGAGCACAAGAAACCAATTGCAGGGGTGTACCAAGGGCAGCGTGGGATTTAAACTGTTTCCTGCAGTGTTGAAAGATTCAACACAAGAGCATTGTACTGAGGCAGGAGAACCAGAGAGTGAAACTGACTTTAAACAGAAAGGGAAACCAGTTCAATTGGATTGTCCAAGCAGTGTGAGAAGCAAAAACCAGGAAGCATTCAGCAGTGGAAAGTACTTTTGATTTTTAAATACTTTAAAGAAATATACTATATGTATTATGTTATGTGACCAGATCCCTAACTGGTGTAAACTGGCATAGCATCATAGACTTACTGATTTATAGCAGGTGATGAGCTGGAGATATGTCCCAAGATTATTCCCAACAGTATGACCCTTTAGAGGTTTTTTTTTTAATTCTGAACTTTCTAAAGAGATGTTATGCACCCAGGCAAAGCAGCTGTGATGTTTTAGTTGGGTGACCTTTAAAAAAACCTGTGAGGTCAGAGAATGTGTGTGAAGCCGATCATAAAAGAACCAAGGCTTTCTTATGATCCCGAACACAGTGCTGAGGCAATGAGGGAATTCAAGAGAAAAGCAACTAATTTCTAATTGGAACAATAAGTTTGAAAGGGGAAAATATAATATTTAAAAGAATCAGGGGAGGGAACATTGATGGGCCAGGACCTCAGCTGGTGTAAATTGGCACTGGAGCTATGCAGATTTACACCAGCTGATGATCTGTCCCAATGTTCCTAAACTGGCTGACACAAATGATCCCAATCCTTGCAGGGTTCTGTCACTGGCTTGGTTCTGATTCAATCTCCTTAGCATCCCAATTAGGTGTCCACTGGGCCAAAGTATTACTAAAGCTACTGACTTTGTGATATTTCAAATTACTATAGAATGAAAATAGATGGGGAGAGAAAAAAAAATCTGAAAATCATTTTCTTACTGTACATATGACCTCATTCTCCTGTATATTCTGAAGATATAATCTTATATTTGGTATGTGTTCCTTGTGCTATTTTATCACGTGACTTGTTTATAAAAATATATATTAAAAATTTTAAAAAATACAAGGCCTGGTTAATATTCCTGACTCTGGCATAATTTTAATATAAATCTTTGAACTCTCTTTCATAGTCAAATGTACAACACAACAATGCACTATACCAAAATATTATTCATATGGAGAGGTCCCAATTGAGATCAGGGCCCCATTGTGCTAGGTGCTGTACAAACATATTAAGAATTAGACCAGGGCTGGCCAAACCTACTGACCCTCCAAGCCACATATGATAATCGTCAGAATTTTGAGAGCTGGGACAACTGCTAGGGCTCGGGGCTTCAGGAGGCACCTGCCAGGACTGAAGCCCCAAGCTTTGGCAGGCATGCCCCGTGGGGCTGAAGCCCCAAGCCCCACCACCCCACCACAGGGCAGAAGCCCCGAGCTCCCCCCCTCACCCAGTCTGGTAAGCAGAGAATCAGGGGAGAGGCATGAGGGGCTCCACAAGCTGCACTTTAACTGTAAAAGAGCCGCACGCGGCTCGCGAGCAGCAGTTTGGCCACCCCTGAAATAGACACTGCCCTTGGTAACCCTAGTTCAGAGAGACCAAGTGATTCCCAGTCATATGTGGATTCCCCTTAGTAATCCTAACCCTTCTTTGAGGAGCTCTACTGGCCAAAGGCCTAATCCTAGCCCAGGAATCCCTACCCCTATTAACCCTAAATCTATTCAGGGATGTCCTATCCTTAGTAACCCTAGCCTGGGGACCCCCAACAGGCATCAGGCCAAACCTGGGAATGCCTACTCTTAGTAATCCTAATCCTAGCCCAGGGGAGCCCTACCCTTTGTTACCTGCTATGGACCCTGCCCCTGGAAGGGGAGAGCGCATTCTCAATGTGGGTGGGGACCAGCATGTGTGGTGATGAATGTTGGGGTCCCTATTTCTATTGTACTGAGAGGAAGGCCCAACGGTGTGATGGAC